ATCTGGTTTTCTAAATTTTCCCTTTACTTCCTGGTTTTCACTCGGGAATTTAAGAGGCTGGAATAGTGCAGCAGCAGCAAAGCATTTATGTTACTTGATGAAAGCATTTATGCTTCCTTGATGAAAGGTAGGTAACCAACCAACATTGTCTTCCATAACAAGAAGCAAATTTGAAGTTCTTGGATGAATGTAGGTCTAATTAAATCTGTCACACAAGTCCTAGTAGACAGCACAAGATATCATAGGGCAAATATAATGCCTCTGAAGCATAGTGGACTTAAAAAAAGTCTGTTTTTATATCAGAGGTGTTATAATCCTGTCTAATTAGACCTTTTAATCCTTAGTTTTAGGCTGTGCTAAATTTGACCTCTCACTATGCACATCCTATCTCCTGCTATTAATTCCTTTATTCAATGATAATTTTTTTTTTTATTTCTTTTCCTTTTTTTAAAAAGTTTTTTTGTGTGTCCGTGTTTCCACTTCCTGGACTGTCAGTGTGAATGAGTCACTTTTACAGACATTACAATGTCACTTTATGCCATTTTCTAAGAATGTCTTTTTTTGGCCACTGCGGGAAATGCTGGCTTTTGTTTTGCTTTTTCCAGTTAGCCAGTTAGAGATAAATGACACTGAAAAAAATTGTTTGCATCTAAACAGTCAGGTAACTATAGAAGTTGGTATTGAAGAGACTACTAGGTAAGAAAAATAATATGTATATATATATATATACATATATACACACATAAAAGGTCTGTCTCCAAATTGCATGGAGAAGACACCAAGTTTTGTACTTTTCTGCTTTTAGCAAAAAAACTACTTGAGAGCTTCCTTTTATTTCCATGTTTAGGTGTCAGGATAAAAAAGGTCTAGTTATAAAACCAGGTAATAAGGATCTGGTTTTGGGACCTTCCTTGATTGCTCGTGGTCTGCCTGGTCTACCTGTATTTCAGCCTGAGGGAAGCCAATGGTATGATTTAGAAATAACTGTATTTAATTAAATCAGGAAACAAATTTGAGGCCAATTATTACCTTTGACCTCCTCTGTCAAGTAACCTTGTTATCTGTTACAGGTATAAAAATGCCTCATTAAAAGGGAGGTGCTTTGGGAGCAGTGGAGTGCCAGTTCTTCAGGAATTGTCTTCAGGAAATATTCATTAATGGCACTCTGGTGTAGAGAAAAGCCAGTGTTAATGCTGGACTGATTCCTGGCTGTCCTAAGCTAGAACCCTTCTGGAGGAAGGGGCTACTATTTACTCTCAGAATTTTCAGAATTTGGCTCAAATATTCATTTAACATTAATTATTTGAACTTGAAACGTTTCCCTTCACAGATGTGTGCTCCTGACATTTTACTCAGCCACATATCATAGATGAAGTATTTGAATTGTGCTTTCTGTATAAATACAATGAAAAAAACCAGGATGCATTAAAAAGGAAAGTTATATCAATATCATAAGAGATTTACAGCTTTAAAGTTCTGTTACTGGGCAGCTGAACATCCAGGCAGAAAACTCGGGTTTTTTTCTAGAGGATTTAGGTTTTTAATTGAAAAAGCAGTGCCAAATTCACTTTGATCTTGGATTTTAAATCTTCCTGTAGGAATTATAAGAAAGAATTAAACTCCAGAAGGATTTAAGCGTTTTATTACCAAAACCTTTACCCCTCTCATCCCAGCTCCCACCCCCACCTGACACAATGTCCTGGGAATGTTTGACCTTCTGGGAAGGTTAGAAAAAAGATAAAGGAGATGGTGTTTGGTCAGCAGAGTTTGCAGAGAGGCAGATATGCAGTTGTACAACCCACATTTTTCCTCTTGGGAACTTGCCCAAGCATCAGGATGCCCTTCTTTTGACAAGGAACTCTTTCTTTTTAGGGAAATGTGGGAGTTGAGTGGAAGAATAGAAACGCTGTACCCTTGGAATATTTTTGTTTTCTGTCCAAATGCAGTAATTTATCCTCATCATCACACGGTGACAATTATATATGGCAGCCCATGATATGCAAAATTCTGCTTTTAAATGAAAAAAATAGGAACTTACTGAGGATTTCCATTTCTGGCTGGTTGATTTTTTTTTTCTTCTACCCGGGAATCAGCTTTTGAGAATATGGGAAGACAGACTAAAAACTGATTGCTAAATTTTCCAATCTAAATCTACATTCTGGAGATTCCTGGAAGAAGGAACCAAAGCCTCAATTTGAGTGATAAAAAAACCAAATTCAAATAGAATTTTGCTGAAATAGTGAGAGTTTTGATGCCATGTTTGGAAAAACTCAAATATAGAAACTGAGAGCCCGGGGACAAATTTGGAATTAATCTGTGGGCAGTTGAGGTTGTGGATAATTTACAAGTTTCTTTATGAAATGCCACAATTGTGCCAATTATTACATCTAAGGAATACAATATGCTAGAAAATTACCCTTTCCCTTGTAATTTCAAAAACTAAAACTCAAAGTGTATTTGATAATTTTTTATTCCAGTGAACTCACAGGAACCACACAAAGTTTGGAAGTTATTACTATATATCTAAGCATCAAACCTGAGAATTTGATGATATTTCTGCTTTCTTTAAGCATAGATGATGTCAAACTATCACCACCTTTATTTACATTGTAATTCTAAGTACTTGTGCAGTTGTTAGAAATTTTTTACAACGTATTTCTCCCCGTAACATTTTTCTTAGTTGTGGAATTATTTTTATTTTAATTTCAGTTGATGTCAAACTAACTTCACAACTCAGAAATCTCTCAAATCATAAAGACAGTCTCAGATAACTTCAGGTTACCTTGTACAGTTACTTTCTTTTTAAAGTATGACTGGACTTTTTATCGGCAGTGAATAAAAAGATTTGCTGGAAGATTTTCTCTAACCCTTGGATATAAATGGGAAATTCTTCCAAGGTCATGTACCACAAAGCTTTGTATGTAAAGGAACTTAGAACTGAATTTCTGGTTAGAATCATGAATAAAGATGTTACCTCTATTTATTTGATTAATAGCTAAAAATGAGTAATCGTGGCACTTGCACATATTCTCTGTTTACGTAATATTTCAGAAACTGTATGTGGGTAAAGCATTTTATTTGTTCATGTAGAAATTAAGCTTAATAATTGAGCTTAGAAGGAATGAAAGACATACATTCTTTCATTGATTTTGACAGGAAAAGATTATGATGAAGTTAACACTCGTATTTTCTGGCTAAAACAGAAATTCCTTTGATCCCAAAATTCTGTTCCTTTACAAAAAGGAAAAAAAATAATAAAAAAAGAATGCAGACCTCTCTCAATGTTTTTCACCACATGATGTACTGAAGCCTTCTGAAGGGAAGTGTCAATTTAAAAAATTGTCCAAATAATTAGTGCCACTCATGGTCTGGTCTGTAATTTCACCAGGAGTTATTTTTAAGAATGCATTTCTTTTCTCCTACAAGTTGGGAAGCCATTAGGTATCCAAGAGGGAAAAACGGGTAAGTTTCCTAGAGACAAATAAAAATTCATGCTTTCATTGGTGAAGATTTGCTGTCTTCACAGATGTGTAAACTTAAACACTGAACAGTGTCTGAAGGTTAGGAGCTTCCCATTTCTTAGATCTTTAGTTTTAACTGACTTAATATTAATTAACTTATCAAAAAAACTTAGTATTGTACTTTAAGAGAAGAGGATATCTACAGGGAATCCATCTGTTGGGAGCAAAGAAGGTATTTAGCTTATCCTCTAATTAGGATTCTGAGATCCTTAAGGAGCTACTTTCAGTTAGTGGTAAAATCTGTATTTCTAAAAAAGTCAAAGCCCAAGTTTTCTAGAGATAATTTCATAAGTACATGCATCACCTCATCTTTGGCAACCTGAACGTGCCAGCTGCCATGGGATCAAAGTGTTCTCTTTGTGGGGATAGTTGAACTGATAAAGATGTGAAAAATAACAGCTCTGCACTTAAGTGAGGTACCCAATTTTAAAGGGATCCACAAGGGGCAAAATACTTGCAAAAAGTTCACTGACTCCTGTGAAATGCGACGTGTGTGATTATAAATCAATTAAATGTTTGTTAAAAACAGAATCCTGTGTTTGTGGCAGCGGCTCTGAGTTCTGCAGGCTGAGGAAAACTTGTCTGGAAGGATTTGACTTGGCAATCAACCATACATTGTGTAAAACTGATCAGGACAATAAAAGTGCCAAGTGTTACGTTTTATATCATTATATATTCTGGGAGGTGATTTATAATCTTGCCTGCAGGAACTGAGGAAAAAAAAACTCCAGAGCAGTTTAATTGAGGATGAGATAAGAAAAAGGTTTAATTTGGTTACAAGATGCGCTCCCCGGCCGTGTACAGGTGTTAAAATTTATAATATTGTCTGTCCAATCCCAGATGTTTCCACCCCGGAGCTTTTGCCCTGGTCCACCCCCAGCCTTCTCATGGGGAATTGAGGCTGGGGGCTTTTCTTCATCTTCTTCAGAGCACAAAGGGTACACGGTCACCCAGTTTCTGACTGTGCTCTGCGGTTTAGGCCAAGGTACAAGTGTTCTCTCAGCAAAATGGGCCTACTCTTAAAGAGAGACTAAACACTGTCTGCTGGAATTCAGGAGATATTGATATGGGGGCATGGAATGGGGTGATGGGGTAGGGGAATGTGTAAACGACTGTGCTAAAGGGTGAGTGAATAAAGGTTGATGCTTCTAAAATCTACTTCTACCATATAACTACTTATAAAGCTTATAAAAATTAGGAAAATAAGAAAAAACCGGATGGACCTAAAGGCATCAATAAAAGTAATAGCAATGCCTCTAATCCGTGCTGGAGATGGGATAGGAGACCTGCAATCTGCTGAGCACAACCATGAACCTTGTCTTGTTTTTCACTCTGTCTACAATATGATTATACTGATATAGCTCCCATTATTCCCAAAGCTCCCAGGCTGTGTATCTACCTCCAGGGTAGCACTATCCTGCTCGTGACTTTTGCAAGGAATTTGACTGAAGTGTATATTGCCTTCTATGTGTTATCCAGGGAAGATGAAAGGAAGGAAGAAGGGATGTTCCTCACCTTCAACCTTTATCTTGCTGTTCTGCTGTGTTGCCGGGTGTGCAGCTGCCGGGTCGGAGGGCAGCGAAGAGGAGCATGTTGTGGGTAAGAGGTTACTGCAAAACACCTCAAACTGTCTCAAGCAACAAAGCCCACTGTGTTAAAATGCACTGTAGATGGAATTCTGCGCTTGAGAACTTTTTTGGGAAATTTTTGAAATTGAGGCTAAGGTAAAAATGGGCTGGTTTCTAACCAGGAGAGAGATGTGCAGAATTGTGTGTTAAGCCTTCTATTGAGGCTTCTGTTTCCCAAGCTTTTTGGAACTCCTAATCCTAAACAAACATTGGGTTAGATATCAAGATAATTCGCTTAAAGCTCTGCTTTAGGATCAGGGAAAAGCTCATTGTTTAGGGAAAAGAACATAGAGCTGGCAAACCCAGGTTTTATGTCCCCACACAAAAGGAGCAGAAATATGATGAATAACATTGCAGATTGCTGTCCCGTGCACAACTCTCCTGAGTCTCAGTTAATGTGCAAAGTTTGGTCTCAAAACGATGCAATTACTATCCTGGTTGTTTTTCTGGGCCCTGAAGAAGGTCTCTGTATAGCCCCAAGTGATTTGATATCACTGGATAAATAAAGGAGTTGGACTCAATCCTTGTTAATCTCTTCCAACTGTGGATATTCTATAATTCTATGATTAAAAACTCACCAGCTAGAGATTTTTGTTAAGAAAAAAAGTGTGACTGTTAGAACTGGGGATGTTCTTGGATTCTCACCGTTGTAAGATCTTTGTTTACTTCATTGAAGTTAACCAAGATGGATCAGAATTCTGTACTGGATATCATTGGGAAGGGTATTTTCATTTCCTCCCAAACAATTTTGAGAAAGCAGATGAAGGAAAAATACACTAAATTATTACAAGAATACACTGAAATATCCTTCTTTCCTTTAAAAAATGATTTAAAATTGTGATCTCTTCCTTAAGAGAACTATGTTCTCTCCATCAAGAACTATGAAGTGGAAACTTCTGTTTGACATGTCTGATTTTGAAGCGTAACTGAGAATGCAGCTCAGGGGAACCTTTTATGTTGATTCTCTACCTAATCTGCCCATATTTTGTCCTATCTCCGTCCAGATTATTTCTCTTTGTCAGACTTTTGCAGCAGCGTTCTTTGAGACAGAAACATTAATTGTGCACAGTAATGGCTATGCTAAGCTAGTACAAAACTAGTGCTTTAGGACCATGTCACAATTAGTCACTAAAATTTAAAATATGTGCGTTAAGCTTAAGCTTAGCATGGTTGTGTAGTAAAAACTTGTTCATGCAGCATAAATTTGTTTCCTTTCAACCCTGAAGTGCACAAATGCCCTTCCTGTTTGAGGCTAAAGTCATATTTATCCTTGCCCTGCAACTCTTGGTCTTATATAAATCTTTAGCCTAAGCTTGCTGTTCATACTGTCCAAATTGCCTTGCACACTTTGTCACCAGAACAAGAAATCTGCTGCCTTAGATTTTTTCCTCTGTTTACTTTGTTCATAAAAGACAATAAGAAAATAATCCCAAGGAAATGAAATAGTCATTGTACTGGGCATTATTTTTTTCACTGGTTATTTTGCAACCAATCCTTTAAGATTACGTTACCAGTAAGTGATTTAGTATGAGGAACAGTTGAACTTTTGGGCTCTAATTCAAAAATAAAAAACCAATCAAATGTAATTATTAGAAATTAAACTACGATCCTGGTTTAGTCACTGCTGAAGACTCTGTGTTTACAAAATATTTTCACAGTGCTCTGTTTCCATAAAATGTTTAAATTGTTGCTAATTAAAGTGATATTTGTGGTTTCTCAAGATTTAAATTCTGGGGTCAATGAATTTAAATTTATAAATCTTGCAGGGTGCAATTTCATTGATAACATTTAGTTTTGAAGTTTGATGGTTATAAAGCAATGACATATTTTACCCTAGCATTCCATAAATTTCAGGTTTTAATACCTGATAAAATAAGTTGTGTGCATTCATTATTTGTAATTTTATGCTTTTGGACCACATTGAGTGGAAGTGCTTTGTGAATTTAAGAGGTGGGGGGTTTTTGTCTATTTAAATTACAGTAATAATTAAGATTGCAAGTCCAATGGGATAAAAAAGTATTATTAACTCATTCTCTTCCAGCAAAACCAGGGATTTTTCCACCAACAAATAAGGGTAATAACAAAAAATGAATGGTATAAAGAGGACTAGTTTATATATACTGTTCATTAATACCTTATGTGGTTGGCAGAAAACGACTCACAAACTGAATGTGCTTTTTTATTCATATGGGAAAGTTTGCCAAGAATAAATGTGCCTGCTTAAAAGTGTAGGAAACACGTGGGCATGAGGAGCAGGGAACTGTGTGTGGGTGGGAAGCTGTCAAACTGACAAAAAGATGGAGAGAAAAGCAACAGCTCTTCATCAGTGGCAAGGTGCTCAGTATTGATACCACTTATCAAAGGGAGACATTTCCAAGAAAAAGCTGGGAAAGATGACAGCAATTTATAATTAAGGATAACCACGGAAACTCATGTGAGGTTGAGAACACACAACCTTAGCAAACTAAAACATAAAAAGTCCGAATAATTCCTGACCTTCGGTTTCTTGATTTATAGTTCTGTCCTGAGAAGCAACTCCACCATAACACTCTTGTCCATCATATTTATTGTGCTGCAGGTTTAGGATGGGAATCAGTTCATTTTTTAATTAAAAGGAGGCCCTGCAGATTAATTAAAGTCTTTTGTTGTGCCTGCAGCCAGGGGGTGAGGTATTGTTTTCACTTGTATCAATGTCAGAGGATTAGAGGCATTATTCACCACTTCTGCTTTTGGAATATTAGACTCCTAATAAAAAATCGAGAGGGATAGGGGGAAAGAAAGGGAAGAGGAGGTTTTGCTTTGCTTTAGTTTAATAACTTTAGTGTGACAATGAGCATCAGCTGTAACAATTATTTAATGTATTTCTAACAAAACAAAATTTTCTTGGTCTAGGGTAGTACAGTCCTATAATTATATATATATATTTTTTTTTTCTTAAATTTATTTGAACCAGATGCCTAAATTGGATGAGTAATAAATATCCAACAGGGTCATATCCAGTGTGGAAAGCTAAACTGATTTTTTTTTTAAATGACAAATGCGAAGTGCTGTACTCACGAAGGAGAATCAATACATTCATAAATATAGGGTGGAAAATAACTGTGGAAGCACTTGTATAACAAGGTTATATTTGCTGGAAAGCAAATGGAAGTTGCAGAGCATTGCAAAAGTAATGCAATGTTGTTTAAAAAAAAAAGGCAAGTGATTTTTTTCTTCTATTAAGATAAAAAAACAAAACAACAAAACCCAAGAGTAATTTTTCCACTCTATTTGCCACTGGTAATGCCTTAGGTTATGTTCAGCTCTGGGCAGCACACTTTAACAGTAATCCAACTAATAGGAAAGACCCAAATAAGAGTTATGAAAAGATTAGAAAGCAAGGCCAATAAAAAGTTTGGAAGAAATGAGTTTGTTTAGTATGGAGATAATTGAGAGGAGGTAAAAGTCTTCCAAAAGACAGAAAACAGACCAGAGGTGGGCTCCTGAAGTGATGCTGTGAGTGCAAGGAAGCTGCTGCACCATGAAGGCTTCGAACAGCCTGGGCAGGAGCCAAACCTGGAGGGCTCATATTAAAGGTTGAGAGTGCAGGAGGCCACCTTCTCTCCTGCAGCAGCCTTGAATTGCAAGATTAGAAAATCAAATCGATTTTCTATGTGTGTATATATATATATATATATATATATATATATATGGTTTTAGATTGTTCTATCTATGCATAAAGGAAGCCAAATATTATTTAATATATAAGAATATTTATATGGCACATTACAAAGAAGGCCTTTCTTGCAAGAAGGGTAGTGAAATCTTGGAACTGACTGCTTCAGGTTGCTGGGAATTTTACTTCACTTGGATAAGAAACTGTTAACGTTCCTTTGAGTTTGAACTTCCTATGTTTCTGCTGAAGAATATTCACTGACCTTCCTGACAGACACCTTCTCTGAATGTCACATCCTGTGCCCTTCACACAAGGCCTAAAATGTAGTGGTAACAATTTGTTCCAGTGTTCAAGAGCAGAGGAGGAGGCCTTATACTAAGAATTACTTTTCTTGAGCTGTATTCCACATAAAAATGAGTACAGGCAGATTTGTGCCTATGCAGGTCTACTGGTCAAACCCTCCTGCTTGCCTTCTCAACTGCTGCTCTAATCTGAGAAGAAAAGCTCATTTTCTGTCATCTGTGTGAGCTAAGTGTTCCCAGGTGTAAAATAATGGGGAAGAATTCCTTCGCTGTTCCCAGACACAGGAATGATTCAGTTCCGACGAACCCCGACGAACCCTTTGGAGATTTCTTTTTTCAGTCACTTGGTTACTGTTTAAAGTTGAAGGGTTTGGCCCCTGGGGGTTTCACAGGGTACAGATTTTAGTCAAACTATGGCAACTTTCTAGCATTCTTAAGAAAATAAATGTCCAGTTGCCAAAAAGTGGGACACAGCTGGTCATTGCGCCTGCAGCAGATGTCAGTGCATCTGACAGTGGTTAACAGTGTCCCTGGGACTGCAGAGGAAAGGCCTTAGGAAGTAGCAAAACAGTGGTTTACTTCTGTGGGTTTTCTTTTTACCAAGTCATAAAGTCTGATTTTTATGGATTCTTTTAATTAAAACTGGAAACTTAGTCTAGTAATAGTAGGGGGCTGTGCAATAATCATGGAAACGCTTGTCCTTATCCTTTATTTTGTTTCCTGGGTCACTGTTAGGTGTGTTGACATATGTGTTAAGAGATATCAATATTGTAATTAGCTGTGGGAGAATGAATGAAAAAATTCAGGTCTGTTTTTCTGGCTGCTATGGCAATCACACCAGCTCTGTAGAGCTTTCAAAATCCTCAAGGGCAAAACAGTTCCTCAGAAAAGCAAAACAGGAAAAAAATATTAAAACCATATATTTATAAGGGAGAAGTATCAGCAAATCAGTTGTTAGTCAGAATTTTCTTATAGACGCTGACAGTGTAAAATCTGGCTGGTGTTCTTCACGACACATATGACAAATATCACAAAACATTCCCTGACCTAACAATGTATATCGAAAGACACAGAAATTACACAATTTGGTAACACAATTTGTTTTCCCTTAGCGTTCTACTTGTCTGTTTAGCTCTTGAAAGCTATAATGCAAGAACAGCGAGATCAAAGGAAAAATACAGTGTGATGACCTTTCAGTGGTGCGGGCTGGGTTTGTGTCCCGGTCCAGCGCCATCTGACAGGGGAGCGATGCCCTCTGCAGGGCTCTGTTCACCTCACGCTGTGTCTTCATGAGCGATGTTCGCTGTTAGAAGTGCACGGGAGAGAGCACATGGAATCCTTTCTGCCGTGGCTGTCACTGTGTTTTCAGAGCTACCAGCGTTTTCTCTCTGTGTTTGTTTTTCAGAGTTGCCCACCAGCTCTTGTGACTAAGCCGCCATCCGTGGCTGTTTAGAGGTTTGTGATGAGGAGTTCAAGCTTATGATATGAGCTGTTCGGGTTGAAAATTGAAACCACACATTTGGTTTGATCAAATGGAATTTGTGTTCCAGCCCAGATGATGTTTTTTGTTTTTACATCTGTTTAGTGCGTCCAGAGCGTTGCAGACAGATGTTGTGGGGTGCCTCTGTAGGAGAAAACAGGAGCAGTGTCCTATTGAAGTTACGCTTCGTAGTGAAGGAAACAAACTTACTAACAGTTATTCTGCTTCTCTCCCGTATTACAGGTGCTGCTCTGCCCCCACTGATACTTGGGCACTCGGTGTGTGCCATGAAAGCAGATGATGGCCCGTGCAAAGCCATCCACGTGCGCTACTTCTTCAATATCCAAACCCGTCGGTGTGAAGTGTTTGAGTATGGTGGGTGCCATGGCAACGAGAACAACTTCCTGACGCTGGAAGAATGTCAGAAGAAGTGTGTGGTAACAGGCCAGTAACCATTCTCTTATCCTCCTATCATCTGTTAGTTCTTGTTCACAAACCACATGAAGTCTGAAAGAAGAAGCTCTCTTCAGTTCCCACTAATACAGAAATGTGGTTCCTCTAATTATGTTCCCAAGTAGGTTGGAGTCATGTGAATTATTTTACATTCTTGCAGCAAACATTCAGGATTTGGAAATTTAAGTGAGACTTGTTTTAGTGTACCTCTGGAATAGAGACACCGATGCAAGAAAGCTTATTTTCTAGCTAGAAGCCATGTGAAATTAATTTTGAGGCTGGGCTAAGCTAGTGGGAAGCACGAATGTTCTTTGTTGCTTTCAGCGTGTCTAACTCAATTTTTGATCCCAGGTTTCTCCTTCACTTGAGAAGCTGATAGAAGCTGTCCAAAATCTTGGACATTTTCTGTGTTTCAACATAATTAGAACTACAGTAGTAGATAATTCTCATTAAAAATGTCAGTTACAGCCATTTGTCAGCTCTGTTTTATTGAAATCTCATCAATTAATCATTAGAAAGAGGAAAATGAAGTTTAACATATCATACACAGTGCAATATTCACAAAGGGTCTTGTGAATGCTGGTTTTGGAATTTAAAATGAACCTTGTAATTAAGTAAGGCTTCCAGCACTGTGCAAGACCCTCACAGGACTGTATGAAAGTGAGAAGGCTTAAAACTGGGAGTTAGTGCCAGTGGAGCTAGAAATTTGACAAGCTTGTGTGTTTAGATACTGGAGGAATTAAAGTCTTATATTGAGGGATACCTAATATGGATTTTATTTTCATGGGAATTTGATGGAATGTGTCTGGCTGTGTAAACAGGAAGTGATAGGGATGTATTGGAAGGGGAGAAGGAAGGGAAAATGAAAATTGAAAGAAAAATCTGTATAAAGGTGTCCTCAAAGGTGTGTAACAACCCTCAGGCAGTATATCAGCTATGTGGTTTTTTTTCCCAAGTGTCCTATTGGATGTTCATTTACTTAGAATAGGAGGTAAGTTAGAAGGATTCAGTGAAAGGTACTTTTCAGTCGCATATGCTTTGCCCAGCAGCAAATCTTGCCATCAGTGCTGAGCTCCAGACAGTGGTGGTGGGCAGTCCTGCAGCAGGGAACAGTCAGCAGGTTATCCTGAGGATGGGCGACACAACCAGATGAAAATTGTCACTCTCTGCTGCCTATCAGTGGTATGCCCTGGCAGCACCCTCCTGCTATGCCGATCTTGGTAGATGTCATTTTGTTTACCTTATTTTCATCATTTATTGTAGCCCTGGGCCTTTCCGTAAAACTGGAAATCTGCTGCTGCACTGTAGGCACCAAATTGATTCGCAGAATATAAATGTGTGTCTTCTAGGATTAGCACAGTAAATTCATAGAGCTTACCAAAAAGTACTTGCAAGAAATTTCAGATTGGAAAATCGATTTCAGAAGCTCCTATTCAGGCTTTCTGACCAAAACAGGCTGTATATACAACAACCTAATTTATGTTTTGACTGTCATAGATGTGTCTCTTACCACTTTTCCATCCTTTCCAGAATTCATATCTACATAGTATTTAGACCAGGCCTTAAATCTGTTACATTATCTGTTTCAAACACACCTGTATTTCCTAATAAAAATTACCAGGAATTGCCATTTCCCAGTAGTGTTTGCCATTTATAGAGTAAAGCAGGGCTGCTTTCTTACCTACCCAGATTGAGGCAGAATTGCGTGGCTGAGGGCAACAAGGCTTCAGAGGGACTGTGTTTGTGAAGAACAGCAAAATTCAAGCTGAAATGTTGTCCATGATCACAAAGATTAGAAGATATTGGAAGAACAGCTAACAGGAAAACCCACCCTTTTGGGAAGCAACCCTGGCCTTGGTCCCTTTGACCTTTCTAGTGAGGAGGCCGCACGTATTTTATTTACTCATCAAATACTAAATCAAGGCATTGTTCACCATTCACACCTATTTTCTGATCTGCTGGTGCCACCATGCATTTCTGTTGAATTATGTTTTGCTTTTAAGCAAATACATGCATATAAACCTGTCTCTACACCACAAAATTCCAACCACATCTCGTCAAAGTGGAAAAGATCAGATGGTTCCACTTTTTTAAGTGGCAGTTTTTCAGTGGATTTTACTCTAAGGATTAATTTTGAAACTTATCTTTTGATGGCTTCTGGCAAGATCTCCTAAGGAGCCTCAGAGACCAGGTGTGCTCCAGGGAAGAAGTGGCAATAATCAGTCCCAGTTTTGCTTTGTTTTCAGTGTCATACACGGGTAAATACATTGCTAATGATATTAAAATAAGGTATCTCTTAAAATGACATGCTATCAGGGAAGAATTATATGAAACACACAATTCCTTAGTTCCTAAGTAATCTAATCTAGCATTTCAAGTAAAAAAAAAAAAGTAAATAAAAAAAGATGACACGGAGAAAAGCATCTTCCTGAATATAAATGTCTTGCCCTGAATGCAAGCACACACAAAAAAAGCCAACAAAACTCTGTCCTACTTGAATCTGAAATGGATCTGAAGCCAACTCTTCCTGAACTGGCTGAGAAGGGAAAGAACCTTTACACCACTGAATCATTTTCTTTTTATGTTGAAGTCTCAGATACTACTGGAAGTGCAGATTATTCTGGTGCTTGCTTACCTGTATTTGTTTTTTTTAAAAATTAGTTAAGATAAAAGTTGTTCACAATGCAGTTCGTTCTCCAGACTACACTACTGGTATCTTGGATTCTTCACACCTGAGTGTAAAAGAAAAAAAAAAAGATATTAAAGTAAGACAGAATTCATTTAATATGTTTTAAAATTGTCATAACAGACTATTACATGGGAGCAGATGACAGTTCTGGGCAGAAAATCAAAGAAGAAATTCATTACAGAGGAATGGAAGATCGGGGCTATGCTTAACCAGTAAAGAAAACAAACACAAAAATACTGTTTTCTCCTTTTCTACTCCTGCTCTTTTATTCTTACATTGCTACAAAAAGTCCTGTCTGAAGCATTCAAGACAGATTAATATAATTTTAAATGACTAAAAATTATTCAAACTTTGGCATTAATACTTTGCATAGTAATTTTTTGTTTATCTATAAAAGGACTTTCTGGACTGACGAGCTTTTCCTTTGTCATATGGTTTCCATGAGTCACAAATTTGTATCATGTATTTAACAGACATTTTTTTCCCCCCTTTTGGACAACCAGCTTAAAAGTTTTTTTCCATATTCATTAAATTTTCAGCACAGAAATTAATGAAACTGGTAGCTGAACTCCACAGTCAATATAAACATCCAAGTTTAAAAAATTAGTGTTGGCATTGTCATTCTAAAAAAAACCAAAAAACCCCAAAACTTAAAAGGCACTTTTTCACTCCTACAGTGTTTTGTTTAGAAAATTGTGATTAATGTGTTTCTAGTTATGACTCCACAAAGTTTAACGAATATAATCTCCCAAGTTAAAAAATTGAAAGTTATTTTTCCTTGATTAGTATTGTGTCAGAAGGACCTGGAATCCAGGATGTGAAATAACTCTTCTTTTTCTGATACTGGGCTGGTTTTTGGCAATTTACATCTGGTATTTAGTTTTAGTTTTGGGTTTCAGCTGGACCCACAGCATCTCTGCTGTGCTTGGAGCAGGGTTGTTTGCAGGACTTCCAGTATCTCATCCCAAACACGTGTCATGCTGGTAATTTGGAGTGTTTGTCCAAAATTTCAATTTAAAGGCTAAAACAGAGGGACGAGGGGAAAAATACGGGGTTGATAGATGCAGAATTTGGAATGAAGCGTCCAAAAGTCAAGATCAGTTGCCACGAGTGAAGATTTATCAAATTATTTCTTCAATCTGATGTTGCTATTTTGAATAATAGTCTTGTTTTGATTCTGACATATTTGTTGGATCAAAATCTGAAACAGATCTTCTGTGCTGGCATATATTTGGCATAATTCTATAGTATAAAACTGAAATTATTTAGAATGAGAACTGGCTTAGTGTCTACATCTTGGTACTCAGCCCAAGTTTAGTTTTCTGTATGTGAATAACAGGCATCCAAGGCTCTACAAGAGTTACATCTGCTTGGAGGAACTGGAGCAATAAAGGCTCATAATTTCTGTGTTCTTTGAATGAATAACAGCAGATAAAATGGCTTGGTGTCATATACAGTATGCTGTCAGCCATCAGGTGTAAAGCACGTTTACAAACATAATTAAATATGTTAACCACTTTTACTAACATAATTCAGTAAACACCAATACAATTATGTAAATTATGTTTACTAAAGCTAGCTCTGTCTGTCCAGTCTTGTAGTATATAGTTATATTTATCTTACTTATGCTTACATATTTATTATTGTGGGAAGATCACTATTTAGTAACTGAAGAAATCAGTCTAAAAAAATAATAAGAGAGATGCCTAAATGTTTGAAAATAAAGAAAAATCTGAGATACTAAATTATCACTGTGAAGGATGTGAAGATCAAGATAAAAATAATCTAAAGGGAAGCTATGTGATATATATATATAAATTCAGATGAAATAATGTGAATAATCAAAGTGTTTGATTTTCAATATTCAGCACAACTACAAGTATAAACGAGCCAACATGAGTGAATTACCAGATCAGGATAACTTTTAAACATTTTTGGAATGAATAAGCCACCAAAGACAGAATTGATTGAGATCAGTACAACAGAGTTCAGAGAGCCCAGCTGCAGGTTGACCACTCTCAAAGACAGTGTTCAGATTCAAGAAGCCTACTTCTGACTCAAGTTTCCTGGAAATCAGCTGTATTTTTTTGTTTCTTGTGCCCAATACTTACCCCTTCAGGGAATAAAAAAACTAATTTTAAGAGGCATTTGCCTATATGCTTCATTTACTGGATACTTATATCCGGTTTACTGGACATAAGTAGAATCACAGGTGTCATCACTAGCAAAAAGGTCCTAATTTTCAAGGCAGTGAGCATACATTTTAGGCTGCCTAACCTTCTAACTTGGGAAAATAATTACTGATAAATGGTTCTGGTCATGACAGCAATTCTAATGTCCATTATTTATAGAGAAAATCTACTCAGAAATGCAGTTTGTTTACAAAGAAGACATTAACTCAGACATGGATTTGGCGTTTCAACTGAGACCAGAAGCAAAAAGACACTGTTAGACACTGTTGACATGGTAGTGAGATTAAAAGATTCTAGGCCTGTATAAATTCACAATAAATTTCTCCTGTTCTCTGCCAGAAGAGTTGAGATCATATGCCAAAATCTGATTGCTGATTTTGCCCTGAAGGGGACAGCTGAGTGAGATTAGTGAGATGGCCTGATGTGTGTCTGTAGTTTAGGTCATGGGTTTAAACACTTAAACGCTGAAGGCAAAGACTCCTGCTAATTGGAAAAGCTGGAAGTATGCTCCAAGAAATGTTATGTCACTCTAAAATGCATGTCATGCCTTTAAATAATATTTTTTTAAAGGATTCCAGCTGCACTGTCCCAGAGGTGGAAGGAAAAATGTATCACGACAGAATCTGTACCATACAGATTTGCTTTGAAAATACAACCCCAGCATGTTTCCAGAGAAAACCCTGGTAGAATTATAGCACACGAGGGCAGTACAAAACAAAACTAGAATTTTGAAGCAATGCAATTAGGAGGTGAAGTCCAGAAGCTGCTATTTTTTTTGCCTTGCAAATTATCTCTGTAATAGAAAATGCATCAGCTCTCCTTGGTCACTATTGCCAGCCTTTTGTAGGCATTGGTTGAGACAATCTTCCCATTGTAATTTTATGATTAGAGAGTCTCCTAGAAGGGGAAGAAGGTTTGTTTTCCATCACCGAAAAGGAATTTGGGGTTGCATTCAGCTATCCAGTTTGTTGAGCTAATATATAAAACCCAGGCTCCTGCATTAAAAATGACAATAGCAACTTCTGCACTGCTGATCGTGCCCTGAAAGAACAGTGCAAACAACGTGTCACCCACACAGCCCTAAAGACAGTTGGAGATACTTGGCTGAATGGGCCATAATGTCACAGACAGCATCATGAAAACTTGACTCAGGCACTCCATAGCACAGCAAAGGGAATTGGACAGCAGGAGAGAAGTCTTAATGTCTCACTAGGTCGTGTCCAAAGCCACAAGCAGCATCAGGATCTACAGCAGTTGGGTTGTTAGTCTGCTAATTACTCCTCTTTAGAGAAGTAAGACTGCATAGATCCAAGAACAGTAATTCCCTGATTCAATTCAATATTGGAATAGTTTGATTTCAGTACATCCCATACCCTCAGGTTTCCAATCTAGCAGGACTTCTCATACAAAGGAAATGACACTTCAGCCCTCCAGAACAAGCTTTCGTGCTACTTCTCTAATAAAGGGAAAAAAGAAAGGGAAGATATGTTGTATTCTTCCTCCTCAGGGCTCGTTGTCACTGCTAAGCACACTGACATCACAGGTGAGACTTAACATGTCTGTCTTTCCTAAACACTTTTTTTTTTTAATTTATATTGCAGAATTGTCTGGGAAGATGGTGGCAACACGAATTAAGAAAGGTAATTACATTTACATAGTGATCTAAGGCTCTTATACAACAATAAGGTATTTATTAGCCTCTTTTGTTAAATTATTTATGTATTGTTCCAGGCTATATCCTAACAAAAACAGCAGTGTCAGATGAAAGTGAGTTCTTATTCTGAATCTTCAGTGTGTTTTGAGAACAAGCTAAAAGCTTGCTCCACTCTTAGCAAAAATGGGGGGAAAAAAGTCCCTCTGAAACAGCACTTTTCAAGCATTGTCTGTGGAGGAGCTACCAGAGGTTAGGGCAGATCCCCTAATTATACATCAAACCCCTTCTCTTTGCAGAAGGTTATTTGGAAGGTTTTCGTACTGAGATGATGGTTTTCTTTTCCTGTTTTCTCCTGTCCTTTCCATTCCTAATCATTAAAAATAAAAATAAAAAATTATTATTCTATGCTATGGAAGTTACTAAAGTCGATTTTGCACAGATGCTGCAAACTTTGGCACTGCTTCCTTTAAGGGCTGACCCCAGTTCCCTGTTTTTAATGACAAAACCGGAACATATCCTGTTAAATTCAGCTCATGGCTATCATCAACATCATTGCATGTTTACTATTGTTTCCAGTAATGTAGTCTTGCATATTGAGTCCCTGGAGAAAGACATGGCATTTAGAAGTATAATCCTGGTTTGTGTGGTTAGGATTATATTGCCTTCATGAATTCTCTCTTCAAAAGTGGCCGTAAAAGTTAGATGTGAGCTCACCTAATTTGGACTTAATTTCCCTTTTCTGCAAGAACCACTTTAATATAAGGATGTTCTTAAATTAAGAACATCTGTTTTTAAGAATCAGTCATAATCCTATAGTCTGCATACCCTTCTTATTATCTGCCTTCCTTTTCCAGTTAGTATCTATCTAAGAATCTTTCTGTTATTTCACAATGCTGTGCAATATTTGATGAAAGAATTTTAGCTCCTTTTGTCTCCTAATATAGAACAGGTGCAGCTCTGGGAGAGTTTTACCTGTCTGTGTAAGTTCTCCCTCCTGTTGTCAGCTGAAAGCAGAGAACGAAATTTGTAGTGAGCAATCAAAATTAAACTGTTCAGGAGTGCTTAAAGCAATTGATTTTGTTACTTTATCCAAGAACATTTTAATGATTTAATTTTACATGTGATATCTGAAAATTATTTCTTGCTGTTCATGAAATTTTATAACAATTGGAATAAAGATATTGCCAATTCTTGGAAAAGCACTAGTTATGAGCTGTAATAATATTTTATATAAATGTATCATGTGCATTAATTGCTTTTAATAATAATCTTGTTCTAGCAATGAATTTGAATATATATTTAGCTAAAGTAGATGTAATAGGATTAACTTCTTTGTAACTCGATAATCCACTCCAAAAATGTTAGGAGCTTCAAAGTAATTGTTCTGTAGTAATTTTTACTAAAATGGCAGCCCACTGCCCCCTGTTTTAGCCTCAATATTTTGTGAAGTTTTACAGGCAAGGAAGGCTTTTATATGTCACATCTGATATGACTGTCTTATATGATGGCTAAATAGACTTTTCTCTGCAAGTCAGCTCAGACAGGAATCATATTTCAAAGTATCTACTAGCAAGAATATGAGAATGCCTTCACAGATGGTTTGTTATTGTTTCCATGATTTTATTTTTAGAATACAATTTTAAGAAAAAATTGAATATGGTAGGAAGCTGACTTTCAGGGATTGTTGTATGGCTGTGTGCTTTTCTTCCCTGCCAAAGGACGTGATATCACGCTGTGATACTCAGTCAAGTTGCACAGTATTCATTTGTTAACTTTTTCTTGGTCGATATTGTAATTGCTGATTGCAAACTCAGAACTGAGACTGCAAAATGATAGAATAACTGCTCTGTCTCTGTATCCTTTTATAACAGTCAACTACTCCAGAAAAAATGCTTTGCTAGTTTTTTTCTTTTTTGTCCTTTTTTAAATTATTATTATTTTTTTATTATTATTTTTCTTCTATTTTAACATTGCTTTCTTTATAATTCACAGTTACATTGACTAAAACAACTATATAAATCACAAGAATGTGTGCTTAGATGCAAATGATCCAGCTGAGCTTCAGGTCTTTTAAATCAGAATAAAAACTGATTTTCAGGTTAAAGCTTCAACGCTGGAGGAAACTTTGAAGGAATCATTAGTTGTCATTTTCCAAGATGTAATTTACTGGCTACTTAAAAAGAGGAAAAAAAGCAATACAAGTGTCCCTATAATGCTCCACGTAATATTATGGTGTTACATACAGAACAAAAGCAGCACAATAAAGTAGCAGTTATTTTATAGTTGGTCTTTAGTCCAAAGTAACAGTTTTATTTTATAAACTTCCTCCGGTTCTGTTGTTGTCTTGGAATGTGTGTTAATCTTTTGATTCTCCCACTTTTTTCATCGTTTCCCATTGTTTACAGAAAAACCCGACTTCTGCTTCCACGAGAAAGACCCCGGAGTGTGCCGGGGTTATTTTACCAGATACTTCTACAACAGAGAGACAAAGTCATGTGAAGTGTTCAAGTATGGGGGGTGCCTGGGAAACCAGAACAACTTCAAGAATTTGGAAGACTGCCAGAGTACCTGCCAAGAAAACTGTAAGTTGTTGTCTTCACTATTCTCAGTTTTATTCTTGCATAAACTGTGCTTTGTTTTGAAGGTGTTTTGCACGGGAAAAAGGCAACTTAGGGTACCACGAGGTGGCAATAATTTATATATGAAGTTGGCAATAATTATACATATTTTAAAATAAAAATACCAAAATTAAGAATATTTGGACTAAAATATTGGGTAGGCACTATTTAACATTACAGGATTCCGTTTTTTACTTTTCTCATGACAGGTGACCTAAAATCTCCCAGTTTAATTTCATAAAGCACTAATATATATTTTTTAACCCACGCACCTGCATTTACTCTTTTCAAACTAAGTCTTGCAAAGTGCTCATAAAGCAATTTCTAGTCTTACTCTTTCCTTACTGTAAGTTCCTAATTTCCCACCAAAGAATCATAGGAGACCTGTCCCTCACTTCTGAACGATCTGGCTGAGCAGCTTAGGCTACAAAACAGACATTCAGACTGACCACAGATCCCTCATCCACTTCCCTGTCCTACCAGTTCCAAGGAATTGTTCTACACCAGGATACAGTAACCTTCAGAACTCCTCTCCCCTTACAGACTCCTTCATTTTAGTCCTAGGGTGAATATATTTTCCCAGACCCTTTTATCTCTCTTGCCTCTAGTGGACCCTTTTCCAGGACTGTTTCATAATCTGTCATTTTGGCAAGGGGAACTCGACCTTATTCACACTTGGACTAGGAAAGACCCACTAAGCTTTTTTTTTGAATATTTTTTAAAGAACTGTAGAGCCGTGGACTGTTTCCCTACCTTTGCTGAAACATTTCTTCCTGGGCTCTGATTCCACTTTTCTCTTTTGGGCTAAAAAAGCTGCAGAATAATTTTTTTTTTCCCTGACTTTAGTCTGAAATAACACCTCCTTGTAAATTTGTATGAATACCCAAGAAGAAACAGAAGATTAAGGGCCATTGCCATGGTCTAAATAGATCAAAGTTTTTATCTTTGAGATATTGATTCATTAGTATCAATTTGGGTTCTTTTTTCCCCTAATTGTTTTCCCTTCTTTTTTCATTTAGCAAACTTATTGCCAATTGTCACAGTTGAAGAGCATCCTAACACTGTGAACAGCAGTTCCCCAGCAGAAGAACCTGAAGAGTTCCCTGGGATTTTTGGTAACAATTTGCTTTTGCTGTTTGTAGTTAACCCTTTAATGCAGCTGCTCCTTGGTTTGTACACTCATTTTCCCATTTGTTTGAAGACATATATGTCAGCTGAAATACATGAGCACAGTGAAGTCATTAACACTGAAACTTGCTACATAACCACTTTCTGGTCAGTAACAAAATATTTTGAAAAAGGCTTACAAATGCAAAGGTTAGAATGTCTGCTGGTAACATAAAAATAACCTTGCCAAACCATTTTTGATTTAAATCTTACATCAGTAAAATGAAAGAAGAAAAATGAACCCACCCCAAAGTTGCCTTAACAACCTCAGCTTTTTATGACTTTGAGACTTAAAAAAATATTATCTTTAACTGGCATTGAGTAAGGCCAAAGGGTACCAATCACGGCTGATTTTCAGGGCTTAATTGTGTCTAATTAACTCATCACTTACTGCTTCACACCTCACACTCACCCCTACTTTTCTTTTTCTTTTAGTAAATTTGTTGCCAACTCCTCCAAACGAGCAGTCCAACACTCTGAACAGCAGTTCCCCAAAGGAGGAGCACAACCAATTTCCCATTTTTTTTGGTAAGTTTTTTTACACGGATTGCTTTTCCATTTCCACCCCTTTTCTGTCATATCCAAGACTAAAGGATGGGCTTTCATCCGTGTCAAAGGATTTGGTAAGCAGAGAAAGTCAAAGCAAAGGAATATATTGCTATTTACAGATCTTCCATAAATATAGAAAGTGGAAGACTGACCACACCTTGTTCTCCTTGAAAAGTGTGCACTTCCAGAAGGTCTGATTAATATAAAAAAAGAGTAAAAGCTGTGATGCAGAATTCTTTCAGTCAAAATTAATATTTTTGTGATGGTCTATTGGGCAAGTGATTTAAAGCTCCTCTTATCCATTAAAAAAGAACCGTATTTGGATTTTAGAGTATGGAAGAGTAGAATATATATAGTACCGTAATATTTTTATTTTCACTGTGACCATATTAAACTCAGTTTTGGTTTGAGTGTGAATTAGTTTTGTATGGCTTCAAGGTATTTTTGCACTGTGTATGATAATGCAGGTGAGACTCTGGACCTTTCCTGGGGAGGGAGAGGCTTTAACAGTTTCTGCAGCTGGACACTGTCCACTACAGATGACTGGTGCTTGCTCACACTGTCAAGGGTGTTTGAATTTGAGGCATGTCATTTTTATGATCCACAGTCGTGCAAGAGGAAACAGCAAACAGTTGGAAAGAGCCTGAGCGGTCTTACCAAGTATTTATGTTGGTTTTTTGCATTTACACTCACTTGTACTTGTGAGGACTGAGTGGTGGCTTAGAGACCTGTTGAGGTTTTTTGTATTTTGTATGTTCTGTAAGATAATGGGTGTGTAGGATAATATTTCTGTGCTCTTTGCTTAGAATGGTGTGTCTAATAAAGCATGAATGTGTGTTGTACTCTTATTTTTTGCCTGCACTGTGATCCACGTGTACTGTTTGGTTGGCATAAGTTTCTGTTATAATAGTATTGTTTGTTTACCACATAAAAAGCACCAATGCCCTCTGTTATTCAAATGACTGAATATAAAACAGTAAAGCTTTTGGCAACTTATTTTACTGAAAAATATATGAATTACTTGAGATCTGCTAATAAGTCCAGGGGCATTAGGGCATACACATTCCTTGAAGGCTTTTAGTCATAATATGAACCCCCAAATCCTCAAAACAACTAACCTACACCAGGAAAGGAGCATGATTCGCTGTGTTTTCCCAGAGGAAGTGGAAGGGGTTTGATTGTACAAGCAATAGAGAATTTTCCTGCAGAGCAGATTTTGAGAGGTGAGGGTAAGAGAAAGAGAGGATTGATGGAAGAGGGGGTCGGGGAACAAACACCAGTAGAGTCAGTGTAGCTGATCTGCCACTGTAATGTCTATTTTGCATGTATGTTGGCCTGACTATCTATATTTAGGGTTTTTTTAACAAGAGCATTAAAAAATTACATTTACTTTCATTAATTTACATTAAATCAACTAAATTAAATTAATTGCATTTGATTAATTCATAAAAATTAAACTAAGACTATTAAAAAAATAAAACATTTTTGCAAGGAGTTCTCTCATAGAATACCTTCAAAACTGACATGCTATTTCATCTTGATTTCAGGAAAAAAGAAACATATTATTAGTGGTATGTATAACTCTGTAACAGCATAAGATTATTAGATTTCCAACATAGTTTTTGATCTTCAGAAAATTAAACTGTTCTGTGGCCAAACTAAACAAACCATACACAAAAACATGACATTTCTAGGACTACCAGCAGTGAACTCTCTTCAGAGGGTGAAGATTGTTCTGGTCTTTGCTGCAATATCTAAAATAATTTTTTTTTCCGGAAAAATCGAAGCTAAGAATCCAAGCTTTCATTTTTAGATTGTATTAAGTGATCTGCGGTAGAAAATTGCTTTACCTGCATTTGATTTGCGAGTTTTGAGTGGGTTAGAGGGTCAAAAGTCAGTTTTCTACTCGGCAAACAGATGTAGGTCCTGTTGGTGCTCCTCCGAGTCAGGGTCACACCTTTTGCTGATGTGAATTGGCAGAGTTGTGTTTGCTGCGGTGGATCTGCACCAATTTATACCTGTCAAGTGCAGATGACTCGTTATTTCGAGCTCAGCTCCTTGAAGATTCTTTTATTTTCGCTCTGCTGCAACCAGAAATGAGAAACAGAAGCCTGCACGTATCAAAAACCTGGCAATAAATCTGAAGCTTTATGGAAGTGACACACCTGTGTTCAGTGAGAAATAGTGCTCATTGTGTTCTCTTTCTTCCTGCTCACCGAGATAATTTCAAATTTCTTTTGTGGTGTGATTAATTAGCAGTTCATTGTCATCCATTCACACCGAGGGGGGGGTGTCTGGGATCCAAGAAAAGGCTGGATTATAAGAGTTAAATCTTAAACCATACACACAGATTGTTTAGTTAGCAGTGAAGAGTTAGGCACAAGAGTCTTTTTACAGGTGAGAACTATAGCCTTCTTTATCTACTGCTTATTGTATATAATTAGTTGGCCTATTTTTTTCAGGAAAAAAAATCAAATATTGCAGTTTAGGGTTTTATTCTCTCACCAAAGCAAAATCAGTCAAAACATCAAGAAAAAGGAGTAACAAAAATAAAAGACAATAGAAAAATCTACACTGTGTTTTGCTGTTATAAAGCCTGAAACCCAATTGAGAAGCTCCTTCAGAGCTCCAGTTCCAAAACTCCATGTGAGATGGGTTCCAAGGTTTCATTTCCTTCAAAAGTTTTTGATGGAATTGTTATGTTTCTGAGAAACACTTTGTACTTAACTGTATTGTAATTTTCCAGAAGAAAACCTTACGCCCGAAAGTATTTGACTGACCCAGCTTGGAAGATCTCATTTGTCATTTGCTTCTATGAATCGTAAATTGTTTTTTCCTGTGCCTGTGCATGGCCTGACCAATGTCACGTGATTTTGGCCAATAATATTCATTGCAAACCCAAGTTTATGAGCTTGATATTGGAGATTTAAAACAGGTTTAAATCAGACATTTTGGATAAACAGAAGTTGCATCAAGGACCAGAGGATGGGCCATGTAGCTGTATGTATAAAAAAGTTAGAAAGCATTTAATAAGATTTAATAATTTTTGGGTTTGTATGATCCACTTGATGTTAACGTGTAATGAGTTATGTAATGTAATGAGTAATGCCACTTGCACTGTGAAAAAAAACCCACCCTGCTGAAATATACTTTAAATTGAGAAAAAAATAGAGTTAAAACCAGCATTTCTATGTCAAGTAGTCTCTCAATAAAGTTGGTGTCTGTAATTCATAAACCTGTAATGATTAGGTTGGGAAAAACAATTTTAATAGCTGGACACATTTTTTTTTACTCTTTTCAGTCTGTAACCTTTCTTTTTTTGTGTAGTTTTGTGGGTTGTGGGATTTTTGCTTCTTTCATTTTCTTTTTTTCTTCACAGAAAGAGCAGGAGAGAGAACTTTTCAACAGCTCTCAGAAAAACGAGGTTGTAAAATCAAAATATTTGAGACAGAAACTCGAGAACAGGCATAATATCTAAACTTACTGTTGCCTCTAATGCACAGTGTTGGAAGCTGGAGCTGAACAGAGAAAACTTACCTGCATCTAATGCTACAGTGACTGTGCTTATATCCTGGTTCACAAGCTTCCAAATTGTCCTGCCAGTAGAGATGTTGGGCTGGGCATGACACAGTCTATATTTTATGTTTGCAGTAACTTGATGTTAACAGGTCTTTTAGTGATCGATATGTTAAAATCAGTTCATAATTTTTATGATCTTCAGCAGACAGGAAATTACAATGAGTAATTTAATTTTTATTTTAATATAGTGTTTAAGAAAAAAAAAATGGCTCTATGTGGCAAAATTAAGAGGTTTTCTTCCTGGGCTGCTTTTGTGGTTGCTTCTGTGAGAGTGAAGAACAGGCAGATATTCTGAAGATAAATAGGAACAGTGCTTTGTGTCTGGGGCATTTAACTAATAATCATCTAGACTAAGATCTGAATAATTTTTGGAGGAGTACAAAAGGGATCCTGAATAGCATTTGGACACCTCTCTGCCCGTTGCATTGTTCATACATAGGCAGCCCATGATTCCCCCAAAGCTTGCAGTCATTGTGAGAGCTCCTTCATGAGGGGACTGTGGACTCACTGGAGAATTCCACACACCAGATAAGTAATTTAAATTACGAAGTGTATATTTAAATTCTCTTCTATAATTAGCAAACCTGTGCTGTTTGGCCCTTTCCTCACTGGCAAGCCTTCTTGCTTTGTTCTTTTTAGGCTCAGAAATTATCAGGTTAAAATAGGTAAGCTTGGTTTTAATGTCGCTGAACATGTGCTTTGAAAACTAACATCCTCTCCAGCTAGACAGAATTAAATTATCCCACACCCAAGAGTTCTCAGATAGAACAGTACCAAAAGCATTGCCTCAGTTAACTTAACTACCATCCTCACTGTAAATAAAACAGTAAATCTAATATACACTGTACCATGTTGTGGACTTCTACTCTGGATCCAGAGTGAAACTTAGTCTTTAGGTAATGTCACAGTTATAAAAAGAAATTAAGTAGTGATCATTTTATACCCTGAAACTAACTTAGTCTATCTTGAAAAACCAACTCACCCCATTTTTGAATTTCAGAATTCTTTTTGGGATAGTATGATGTTGCTAAAACACCTTCGAATATGTTACTAATTTCATTTCACTGCCTTAGCTTTCCATAAATCACCATTCTATTTATTTCCCAGCAATTTTTGCATACTTTTTCACCAGGACAGTTCAGCTATTATACTTGTCAGATGCACTTTTTTTAGCAGGTGTAGTACATGTAAAACACATAAGATGCAGCGTGTCATTTCTGGATATTTTCTTGTCAGCTTCTTGAATTGTCCAAGTTAATCCATAACTTCTTGCTTCCAGCGACTCACCAGCTTTTGTGGCCACAGATTGTCTTCAGCTCTGCTGAAACCCAGATTATTCCCTCAGAATTTTACTTTGTTTTTCCACTGAGCCACTTCTGCCTGGCTATGTATCTTCAAGAGGCTTCACATTTCCTTTTATGCATTCGAATCTCAGCTCCCTCAATTCTGCTGCTTCCTGAAGGAAAGTGGCACTTCTCACTCTCCTCACTCCTTTGGGTCCTGCACTGATGGCAGAGTGGCTCCCACTCAGCTTCTTGCTTCCTGTGCATCACTTGTACCAGTTCTAATTTTGTATGTGAGTCACTCCAGGGCATGAGATGATGAAGTTGTGTCAAGTTTGTGGATTTGCTTCTTGAGTTTGTTCCAGTGCCCAGGCACTTTGGATACCTCAGGTTCACCTCCCAGAATTTCAGTTCTCAAACTCTCACTTGCAGCGACCGTGGAGAAACAAACCCCAGCCTGCTCCCTGGAATGGTAAAACCCCAATGCAGCACTAACGCACCAGCAGCTCCCTGATTTGTGCACTTATTCTTCACATTTAATCCTTTTTTATTCCGTGAATTGCATTTTTTTTTTTTGTGGCTGCTCAGTGGTTTCCCACAAACCAACTTCTGTTCCTTAGGTCAAGCTTTCTGTGGTCATTCAACAAACCCAACGTTAAGGTTCTGAATCTTACGTTGGAAATGCTGGGTACTTTTACCTTCTTTTTGATTTCAGAATGTCCAGCAGTAATTCCCTCCATTAATTATCAGAAATGTTCACCATATTCTTAAAGCTGTTCAGGTTTCATTTAATTCACTTCACTTGCCACAAATACTTTGCTTGAACCTCCTCTAACTGAGTTTGGAATGCTATCTCCTATAACAGAAAAGGTAATTTTTTCACTGACTGTATAGGCAAAGGTGTAACTCTCAGGTAAGCTTTTGCTGGAAATTCAAAGGCAGGATAACATTTACTGTGCTATTTTTTGTAATCATTAATACAAAGATGCTTATTTGTAAAGCATCCTGGATTTTCAGGAGGGAAGAATTAAATTTGCCAGTAAATTCTGCTTAAATTTCAAATAATATTGACGTAACAGCAAACTGATATACTGCAGTCTCTAACCTTCTTTTTCTTGATATTTCTAGAACCACCACCTATCCCTTCTTTCTGCATGACCCCTATGGACAGAGGACTTTGTAGAGCCAAAGAGTTGAGATTTTTCTACAACTACTCGAGCGGAAGGTGCCACCCGTTCAGCTACAGCGGCTGTGGTGGGAACGAGAACAATTTCACCTCCAGAAAGTCGTGTTTGAGGATCTGCAGGAAAGGTATGGGAAGTGATACTGCCCCAGACTATCACAAGAGGTAAATATTATGCACATTGACACGGTCTTGCTGCTTTCGGTAGTAAGTACGGGCCTGATAAAATGTAAGAGGTGAAAGTCTTAGGAAAGTGAAAAAGGAAATCAGAAGAGAGGCAGAGCTAGAGAGAGAAAGATGAACAGTAAAGTAGAGTGTACAAGAACAGAAATAAGACAACTTGGCATTGGTCAGGCATATGAAGGCTTTAGGTAAGACAATGTTATTTCTTTTTTTAAGGAGATTTATTGAAACGGGTTTTCTCTTATTTCTGATAATCTTCTGATGTCTTCTAATCTTACTTCATTTTACCTTTAGGATTCAATAAGAAAAGAGGTGGAAGAAAGTTAATAAAAATCAAGAAGAAAAGAAAGAAAGAGTCGTTAAAAAGCTCTGGGAGAGGAAATCATCCCTGAAAGAATATAACTTTGATTTTTATGGAAACGTGAAGTAAACTGCTCTTCACCTGTGAATGAAAGCCTTCGGTGTACACCACTAAAATATATTTACTGTCCTGATTATTTTGATTATATATTATTAAGCTGCTTAAATTTTTATTATGTATTCCTCATTCATGTTAATAAATGTTACCTTTTACTTTGATAAAGGATTTTAAATTGTAGTTTGGTTGTATATAATTGACAGAGCTGCAACAGGTCAACAGACTGTGAATATATAACTCGTAATGGTTAAAATGTAGACAAGATTCAAATTCACTTTATTACCCCATTATTCTTTTTGAATTCTATTTTTGTTCTAAAGCAAGCATAATGCCTGTCAAAGAATCATCACTTGTCAAGCATGATTGTTTCAATCCATGATTAAAAGATAAATCTATGCTGTAAAGAGGAAATAGACACTGGGTTTGTTTTAGTCACATTTATTTTAGGTTATGCAGGCTAGATTTAACTCCATTGAAGTGCATATAATTACAGTATTGTAAAATGAATGTGAGATCAGAATTAACACACCAATACCCATGAAAGGATTACAGTTAAAGCTGTAAATGTGTGAAGCAATGTGGCAAATATTTGCAATGATTTAAAAATATATATGCTGGGATCACTGACTTTTGTCCTTGTTACTGAACTAGACTCATGGCTAAGCTTTACTGCTGAAAATGTAAGCAATTATGCATTTTAAATATCAGAGTGAGGGGGTAAGTACAAGTGAAATATTTATACACTGAAATTTTATCGCAGCTCTCCTCGTGTAAATTTTGTGGTGAAGGGAGTAAAAATATCTAACCTTCCATTCTTAGTCATAATAATAATTTCTCATGGGCTCTCAGTATTAAAATTTCCGCAATTGCCAGATCACGTGATACACCTTAAAGTGGAGACAGAGCTGTGTTAAACTAAAACATCTTTTACAGCTTTCGTATAAAAGAGAATTAAACTCATTCTTTAGTAGCAGGAGTGCAACTTTCAGAGCTCCAGTGTTTATAGGGATCTGCATTGTTGGTGACAGTGTTTCCTTTAGGTGCATTTTTCCTCAGCATCAAGCTGGGGACAGAGCTGTTTCTGAGGCAGTGTCCTCTGCCCAGCTGTCACTCCAGCTCTACACCTGCTGGTGTTTTCAGCTGTGATGAGACTCTGATCACAGCCTTGCAGTGGTTGGGAGGAAGGGGAAGAGGTTTGTCCATGGTATTTCTTTAAGCAGTCCCACCAAGAACACTACAAAAAATTTGTAAGCTTTGTAAGATTTATTAGATTGTAAACTAGAATGATGGACTTTCTAAAACAGAATATTCTGAATGAGACAATACATACAAAAGATAGCAATGAATAGATTAATTCGTAAGCAGATTGTCTCTTGTGAGGGTCATTTCATGGCAGCACCTCTCCTTCAGGCTCCTTCTTGGTCCAGTGCCTTGTCCCTGGCTGCCTGAATTCAGCACCTACAAAATGTACCCTGGAAGCCTAGGAAAAGTCATCCTTCGTGTCCCAGGAGAAACCTGGCTCTGTGGCTGCTCCCCATTCTCATAAGCCTCCTGCTTGCTGAACTCTACTGCAAACTAACAGGGTCTTCTCACTGAGAGTCCTCAGTTGCTCCCGAGACTGTGCAGATTTCTCCCAGAACTGCTGTAGCTAGGACAGGACTAAGAGGTGCTCCCCCCATCCTTTCCCACCCACTACTTATACTGTCCTAAACGAAACAGGTGATCCTGTGAGGAATCTCATGTCATTGTTGAGGCAGAATAGAATTTATAGTTCTAGCATCCCAAAAGCACCTCTGTTTCAATTGACTAAGAAAACATTACAAAGTGATTTGTCTGTCAGGCTTGTCAGTGCAATGAGAATGAAAACTGGGATGTTGTATTCAGTGTAAAAACTGATCTGAGAGTGCACATTGCTCTTGGGGCATGTACTCTGTTTGGCTGCCATGCCAGTTAGCAGCTGCCTTCCTGCCTTGGTTTGGTTTAGGTCTACAGTGCATTGAATTAGTTTTTTCCCCATAAAAAGTCCAACCTGCAGTGTGATATGATCTTCACCAACATTACAAGTTCCTTCCGTGCCCTTCATTCACTTCTTTTCGTTCCTCTATCCCAGGTATCCGCAGAGTGCAAGAATAAAGAAAGAGATCTGTGTATTTCCCAAAGATAATTAAAGGATGAATGTAGAAGGGGGGATAATTGAGGCATGACATAGGGAATCAGATCACAGAATACTGAAGAGATCAGAACATGATGCTATGTTAAGGTGTTATAGTGACTGTACAGTTCCAATTAACTGGAGTCCATTCATCCAGTCATTTCATTCCAGAGTCTGCCCCAGTTGCTCTGGAGGAATTATGCAGGGTGCTGTGAGATTTCTCCCCAGCTCTATCATAAGGAGCCAACGAGTTGAAGCAATTTTACAGAGGTTTGGTGAGTTCCCATGTGCCATCTGACCTGCAATAACTTGCTATGTGCCCTCAATCCATGCAGATGATGAAGCAAAATGTCTTTGAGAAATAATTTAATGTCATTTTATTCATTCTTTTTTCCTTACATTTTCACTGGTACGCCTTCCTTTTTCTCCTTTGTATTTTCTGCCCCTTGCTTCTCTTTTATTTCCAGTTCATTTGAGCCAGCATCTCTCTCTGCACCTCCAATCCACCTGCAATAGCAAATCTCATAGACTTTCATTTACATTTTGAGAAAGTCTTCATCTTTCTGGGTCCCACCTCTCAAACATATTGAAGTTTGTAGCGAGTCAATACAACTATCACGATCCCAGTTCACATGCAAGGAACTAGAATCCTTTATTGGGTTCACAACTCCACATTTGAAAGTTTCAGAGTTTACATATTTAACAGCGGGTTTTACGTATTCATGGTATTAAAATTGGGGGGTTTCACAGAGATGAGGTAAGGGGAAATCCTAAATTACAAACTTAGGGGCCTTAGGAATTACCTCATGGGAAAAACCCACTTTAACTTGGGGGATTTTACAAGGGGGACCAGGTAACACAAAGAGAGAGAGAAAACACAAAGGGTTTTCTGCGCAGGTTTGATGAGATCAGGGCATGGTTTCTCCAGGCTTGGGCAGGACATTCCATGACATCAGTGGATCCTTGTCTGGACTCCAGATGGACGTTTTTCCCCAGTCTCTGTCAGCCCAAGGCTTTGTTTAAACTTAGCAGGTTTTCTTTTTCTCATATCCAATTTTTGGAATCCAGCAGAAGTTGACATTAGGGTTATATCTCATAGCTGGTTGTTCTCTAGAGGAAAAAAAACAGGTTCGGGTGAAGTGCAACACACGCTTACAGTTTCTGGTTGTTCACCCGCGATGATAATACTTTATCCACGAGGGGTTCTTTATCCATACTGAATCCTGGAGGGGTTCCTGTGGCTCTGTTTATCCCCCGGGATGCCGCGAGAGGGGGCGCGCGGCGCGGCGAGCGCCGGGATGGGTCGGTCCCTCGGTGCTGAAAGGGGGAACTGAGATTTGCTTTCTTCGTCTGGATTTAAGCCTCCTCCGGCTCGAGCGCGGGTAGTTTGGCACATTTAGGCCCCCTTTGAGCTGCTCGCTCCCGCGCTGTCACGCGGCAGCCAATATGGGCGTAATTTAGGCACCTTGCTGCCAGAGGAATGGGGAGACGGAGAAATTCCGGGAGCCGGCGCATCTCTGAAGTGCAAACTGCACCAGTGAGGTGTCTCAGGTGCCTGTACAGCAGCAGCAAATAAGTTTCAATGATAGCTAAATACGTAGAATGTAAATAATAATTCAAACAAAGAAACAAACAAACCAGATAACATTTGATGTGCCAAATCAAACACAGCCCGTGTAATCCATCTCTCCAGCTAATTCAGATGCCTGTCTTGAACACGTGTGCCTGGCTGGAATACATGGATTATTTTCCAAGTTACAACGTGTAATGTGCCATGTTGTAATCCATAACCTAGCCCTAACTGGCCTAAGTAATACTCCCAGGCTCACTTGTGATGAAATTCTACTACCTGAGGTGACACCGTTTATTTTAGAGAAGTTCATTTACATCACTGTTCAGAATCAGAGCTAATCCCCAGCTTATATCTGTTTACATTGCCTAGAGGTTTAGAGTGCTAGTTCTTAGTTCTTCACTGATTATAAAACTCAGACATTCTCCTGTTGATGTCAGATCCTAGAAGCACCAACACTCACATGTGCCAAATGAATACTCAAGTCATATGCCTGCTCTTTTGGTAACGTGGAGTGTGATTTCATAATTCAGATTGTTCAGTGGCCATATGGATTGAAAGTGTCCTTACCCCTCTTTTCCTTCTTCCAATGTTTCCTGACCCTGAATTAGGGGTGGGTTTGTTTGGTTTTTGTTCGTATGTTGTATGTTTGTTTGCTTTGTGGGGGGTTTTCCCTCTTAGTTTTGGCTTTCTTGCTGTTGTCCTTTTTGAGGAAAAGATTTTCAATGGCCAGATGAATTCCCTCATCCAGTTCACAAATGATTCTGCTGGCAAAAAGAGTGGACAAGTGACAGGTAGAGAGAAGTGAGCACAATACTTTGTCTTGTTTTATGAGCAAATTAAAGGGTATCATTTTGATAGGTCCTTATGACACTGTGACCTTTGGGAGGTCCTTATGGTGTTCCATAAGGAGTACTGATGTTCCAGCTTAATGCTCCAGGAACTCCCCATTTGCTCAGCATAGTATTGTCATGTCCACACAGCAACTGCCCATTGATTTGGAGGGCACAGATTCCGTCTATAGCACAGGTATTGACTGTACAAAGAACAGGTGATAAATGCTCTCAAAGAAACATTTTTAGGTCCCAATTACGAATTTCTTTGCAGCTAGTAGGATTGCCATTAATTTTGTTTTGTCTCCATTGTGGCAGTTTTCAAACCAGGCAGCTCATACTTGTGCTTTCAAACCACCAGCGTTTAAAAAAATGTAGCCTAGAGACCTGTGCAGCAATATTAATGGTCCTGTTGCCTTTTTTGGTACCCTAGATATTCAAAGTCTTATTTATTTAAATACTTTTTTTTTCTTTGGATACAAAACAAAGTGTCACTTTAAATTATGCGCTCGCTTGAATTTGAAAACTTTGGTTCTAACCTTTGCCGCAGTTTAACATTTGAGGAATAGAAGTATTTCTCTGTAGAGTGTGGGATGTAATGTAGTATGGGATGTAATGTAGCCCCTGCAGTTGCTGGCAGAGGTGGGTCACGTCAGTCACACTGAGGAGGAAGCAGCTCTGGTGTATTCCCTGTCTCTCAATAAAGATCCAAACGAATTTATTTCTCTGGGTCTAGCTGGAGGAGGAGGACGAATCTCACTGGCTCGATATGTGAAAGGACAGGTCCCGTGGTCTCCTCCTTTCCAGCAGAGCAGCGAGCGAGCGTTTTGCGAGTGGTTTCAGAGCAGCAGCAGCT